TATAATATGTATGTATTGTATATATATGTATGAATTATAATAAGAATTAAATATATTTTCTTCTTATTTGTTGTTGTTTTATTGTATATTTATATTATTTATGATGTATAATATTATATAGATATATAGAAAAGAAGAAGAAGAATATAATGTATATATATATAAATTATATAATGATACAATATTAAGGGTATAGGGGCCCCCGTCATCTGTAGACGACATCTAATGGATTTATACGACAAGATTGGGTTTGTTGATTCATTCGGAGAGGTAAAAAGAAAGAAATACACTCCCCTAATAAGAGCTTGTGTAGTAATACGGATGATGATGACGGAGGTAAGCAGGAACTTCTGGTCCTGATGTCCATCAGCATGCAGCGCCGCATTACAAGCATAAAATATATAAATTATCCTTATATTATAAACAAAAACGACAATATATACGTTTTAAGAAACAATTTTATTCACGTTTCTTTTCTTCTTTCCTTCATCATGATGCAACCAGCACCGCGCCCCCCACCCAATCAGCTCAGAGCCGCGGTGGCTGTATATACACTGGAACCTTCAGGAGCGCATACATATATATATATAAGGCGCTATATACTAGTAAGCTTCTTCTTATTGTTTCTTCTGCTTCTATGATAAATTTATCCTTTTTTCTTTATAATTCATCTTTTTTTTATATTTTATTCAAATTTTATACATAAATATATACACTTTTCCTACTAGGCACGGACCCTTATTACGCACCAATTCATATGCCTGCAGGTAGCAGCAGTTGCGCATATCATCATCAGTTCGCATGCAGCAGCAGCAACACAAGAGAACAATAATATTCCTTAATATTAAGATAAATATATATTTATTATATATTAAACAATACTTATTATTCTTCTTCTCCTTTATTACCTTCTTTTTTTTATACTTTTTATCTTATTCATGCTCCTTATCCCATGGTAAGCAACTAATGTACCATGTATATACCCCCCCCCCCCTCCCCCCCTCCCTGTTGCTGCTGCGTCCTTGATGCTGCATGCTGCTGCTCCCTCTTATATAATAAGGAAGGGAATTCTTATTGTTATAACTTGTGCTCCAATAGGGAGACTATTAATAAGAATATATATATTTATTCTTTTTTTCTTCTCTATTATGCCGTCGTGTCTAGACACCTTATAGGACCCAGCAGAGGCAGCATATGTAAATATGTAGGCAGCAACAACATTAGCTGTATTGTTCTTTATATATAAATGTCTTCTTTTATCTTCTTTTCTTTTCTTTATTATTTATTATATTTATTATTCCTGCTTTGCATGCAAATAAAGAACAAAAGCTGTGCTGCTATACGTCGCTCGTCTTGCTGCTGCTGCTGTTCTCCAGTCGTCAACACCCTTCCTGCTGCTGCTGCTCCTGCTGCTCCTGCTGTTCTTATCTTATTCGTTAACTCCTTTATATACACTTATATATAAATAGTATAAAAATAATATATTAATTTACTATAAATAACAAGGAAATGCACCATAGTCCTATTGTGTCTATTAATAAGAGACGCAGCAAGCCTGCACATTTATTGTATCTTTATTCCCTCCCTCCCTCCTACCCCGTCTCCCCCTATTTACCTCCTTACTGGATACTCTTAGAGAGGCAGAGAGAGGAGGAGAGGGGAGTAGTTACCATGGCAATGCTGCAGTGTATTGTCAGTAGCAGCAGCAGCAGCAGGCAAAGGAGGAGTTATTTGCTGCTAGGGTAGATACAGTATAACGGGGCTTGCTGCTTATTGTGTCTATTATTGTTCATGCATGCATCTGTATATCTTTGTATATTCCTTTTCCTCTTATTGGAAGGGATGCATGCAGAAAGCAATGGGTAGCATGCGTGCAGCAGCAGGAGGCGACAGCAGCAGCAGCAGGAAGCAACAGCAGCAGCAGCAAATGTTAACGTAGAGAGGTCTTTATTCTTGACAAGATAGAAAGAAATGTTTGGCTATAAGGAGGAAAAGAGGAGGAAATATATAAATAAAGGAATTATATTCTTTCTTGTATATATATATTGCCTTATATAAGGACCTTATGCATGCATACAAGGGAAAGAAGAAAAGGAACGGATAAAAAAAAAGACCAACAAGTATACTTCTCCCTACACAGCAAAGTAATAAAAATAATATTAATTGAGTTAATAATACATAAAAAGAAATAAAAAATAAAAGAAAAGAAGTATTTGTTATATAATAATACATTAATACAATTGTTCCTCCTATTCGCCTAGCAGCAGAGGAGAGGAAGCAGACTCGTCTTCTGCATGCACAAGGACGAATTCAGTCAGTAGCCTCTGCAGCAGAAGTTCTTGTTTTATTATATTTACTTATTTATTCTGTTAATTATATTCATATAGACTACTACTTCCTCTGTTACTGCCGTGTACTGTGCTGGTGTACCTCCGTGTACACCAATTAGGCAATAGAAAAAAAGACAATAAATAATAATGTACTACCCTAAGAAGAGGTACGATGAACTCAGGCTTGCTACTGTCTATTTATTCTTAGACTCAAGGAAGCAGAGGAGGGAACTATGGTCTAGTGTATGTGCCTGCTGCTGATAGGGTACGAGGGTACGAAGGTTATGAGAGAATTGTCTATATTGAGGTTATAATTGTATTCAATTAAGAGGGAACTATTGCACCAATCATGATTGTTCCTCTGATGATTTTGGTGACTAACTTGGAGGAGAGAGCAGGCACCATGAGGCGGTAACCTCTTACCTCCCTGCCGTGACGGACATGCATGCATACATGCATGCATGCATGCACGCGTGCGTACATTTCCTCTTGCAGTACATAATGCAAAGTTATTCACGGCCAACAACTTCACTAAATCCAAAACAAGGAGGAAACCCTAAATGCAGCAAGAAAATCTGCATACGTTGTGTGTTGTTACTCTCTGCATTTATATATATTCTGCTTCCTGCGCATGCAGCGCGGGTATATATACAATTCGTTATATAAACGAACAGACTACAGATAATCCTAAAGGATACAACGGAGGGAGAATTGCGAAGAAATCCATAAAAAGAGTTTAAATGTCCAGTAAATGCGTAAGAAGATGAAGGAAATGATGGGGGTGGCGGTGACCTCGCTGACTATTTATATTATTTTTTTGCAGGTTTAGAGAATTCGCTCATGACGACTTCTGCTTTTCCATCTCTTTCTTCATATATATACAGAACAACAGAAGCGCCTTGTAGTGCCATTAACATAAAGCTAGGGGTAGGGGAAGGAGCCCAGGGTTGGTAGGCACCTGTTGCAGAACCCGGGTTAATAAAGAAACGGCCTTCTACCTCACGAACTGAATTGCTGTGCGTATGTCCAGACACCACAATGTCGCAGTCTAGCCGTCGCTGCCATTGCAGTAAGGCATCTGCATCTCCCCAAGGAATGACTTGGTGGCCGTGTAGGAGCGCCACCTTGAATTCTCCTGAAATTCGCACAAAAAAAAAACAGAGACGCACAGACGTTAGCCACTCTCTTATAGCCAACTATGATTAAATAATCCTATATTTCTGCCTCCAAGTGCCAAAATATCCAACAAGTTGCACAAAATACAGTCTAGGAAAGCTAAACAACAACAGTGTGCAGCGCCGTGTGCACAGGCATGCGCTGGTGGTGGGGGTATAGAGACGCACCAAATTGCAATATTTTGTACTCTGGGAAATCCATGCCCTCATCCATATCTCCCTTAACAATATGAACAGAGCCAGCAATTCCTCTAAGGAATTCAAGGACGGATTCGCTGCCCACGTTACCGGTGCATAGTACATGACGTATTTTGTCTGTATGCAACAATTCCTTGAAACAAGGCGGCAAATCTACCGCCCTCTGTGGGACATGAAAATCCCCTATTATAAGAACTAAATCACCGAAATCCGTGAAATTTCCCGCCATTTTCTTCAAGTCTGTCTGTTTTATCCTTCGTCAATCAACTACTACTCCTTCGGCGGCCGTTCAACCACAACCAGCCCTGTGTTTCTTTTTTTTTTTTCGTGACAAACCTGGCAGATAATAAGCCTGCAGATTAGGGTATTGTCTCTAGGCGCGCCTCATGCAAAATCGATTGCGGGGGGAGTTCTGCAAAAACAAACAACTCTACCAGCGTCCCCAGCGAACAAGAGCAGCCGCACACGGGAGGATACAGGCAGGCCCGTCTGCTGGAGAGGGTACGCCGGAACAGTTGTGGCTGATCCTGTGTAAAAGCCTGTTAAGCCGTCTGCATGGTAATAAGAAGGCGAATTCCTATTCCGTCCTCTCAGCTGCCATCAGGGAGGGCCGAAAAACACAGTAAGAACGGGACCGCGGCGTGCTGCCTGTGGTCAACTAGTCCATTAACTTCCGCCCTGAGACGTGTCCATACACTCGAAACTTTATGAAATTCCCCCTGAAACGGCTGCAGTTCCGTCTGATGCTGCCAGACACATGGCTGTCCTGTGCAGTGTCAGTTGCTGCTGAGGACCGGAACCCTCACCACCCTTTTCTCCTGCAACTTGAGTCAAAAAAAAGCACAGAGTTCCATAGGAGTGTCAAATTGGCAAATAACTGTATGCATAGGCAGCCGAAACTTGGCCTCCGCAGCACAGCTGTCTTATTTGTATGTTTACTGGTGGGACAGAAGCTCGCAGGTAACCAGCTAGTCTCTATTGGGTTTTTTGGTTGAATAAACAATCACTCGCCGAGCTTATTTTCAGCCAAACCATCCCGGTTACTAAATGGTCACAACAGCAGCTGCCGCCTCCACTCCACGAAACCGCCTTAACACCTCAGCTCCCCGCGGCTGTCCGCGCGGCTGCTGTTCCCCGCGCCTCTGGAGGCCGTTGCAGAGTGGCGGCATATTCAACTCTTTGTAGCACAACAGTCCGTTGAGTTCTCTAGATTTATCTTTCGACTTTCGGTTAATTCTAGTTATCTCTTCTCGAAGATGCCTAGACAACGTGGCGGTTCTGGCCCGCGCCGATCTTCCTCTGGTGGTGGCTTCTGTAGGTTCCATGGCACGTTTCTAGCTTCTCAGCAACCCAGATGAGTTCGCAAGCCTTTTGTCTGCTTTTTATTGCACATGACCTGGTTAAAATCTTGTCTGACGCCGTGCCTGTGGCTGGCAGCACCCTGTTTCCTCCTGGGACCTTGCTCGCTTTCTGCAACGGCACACACCGTGTCGTCCATTACTTCCATTGGTCTAGTGAATCATATGCTTTTGCTCTTTGTTGCACCGTGGTAACTCTTAGAAGAGTCAAGAGAAGCGGGTAAAGTGCATGGCTGGGCCGGCGAATAACGGCAGTCCGTCGCTGGGAGTTAGCATCCTTCTGTCCACTCGTGTTTGAGCACGCTTGACTCCAGAGAGCTGTTGGACACTCCTTCCATGAGAAGAAGCGATTTGCCATTAATGAACATGTTGTTTTATGGCAATTGGTGGCACTCTTAACAGAGTAGAGGCATACGATGTGCCCTTGTACGCTGTGCGGTTGCTGTCTTAGCTTCTGTAGTTTGCGGAGGGAGACGCTGTGGGTACCTGTCGATAAACTTGCCGAATTTGCTGCTGTCTTTGTGTTGTTGCAGTTGGGGGATCCCGTTCTGCTGCGCCAGCCCCCGTTGCTGCTCCCCCAAGCCCTCCCCCCATGACTGGGGGAAGCGGCGGCGGTGGCGGGTTTGTGGCCAACATGGTCGGGAACGTTGCGAGTGGAATGGCGTCGGGGGTGGGTTTTGGCGTAGCGCAACGAGCTGTGGACGCAGTTATGGGGCCGCGTTCTATGGAGGTTGTGCATACGAACAACAACGCACCCGTCACCACTGCACAGCCGCAAATGTTGCAGCAGGGCTTGCAGCAAAACCCTTGTGCAGCGTATCAGGAGGAGCTTAACCAAGTGAGTGTTGTCCGTTGCATGAACGACAAGAAGCGAGGAAGCTGAGTGCTGAGCATGATGGTGTGATGTGAAGCAATCAGTAGTTCTTCAATGACGTAGCCATCTCCCCACCTCGGCTTCGGGCTCTGGCATCATCCTGCTGTATTAGTTGATATGGTAGTGTTCCATGCTTCTATAAGTGTGCGTTGTGCTTCACCGTGTTTCACAGTGCATGGCTCGCCACACCGACATCACGCTGTGCCAGAACTACTTGGACAATCTGAAGGCGTGCCAGATGACCATGAACAGGAGCTAAGCAGACTAGTAACCCTTTTTCCCGCACTGTTCCGCATATTATTCCACCTTGTGGTTGCCATCGAACTGGCGCACCCAGTCTTGAGGTTACGCCGCTAATCTCCCATCGGCTAACGCCGCAGTGCTGGCCAGCTGCTTGGGTCGCGTTCATATGGACAGACAGCATCAATTGCTAAGTAGCGTTTTTCGACATGTGGCTGCGCTTGCATTGCGCATGCACCTTAGGGTGACGCTCTCTAGTAGTAAATAGTTTAGTACAGGTGGTATTCGTTGTACGCGGATAAAAATTAAACAGGGGGAAACGCAGTTGGTTGCACGGGCTAAAAAGAAAGGCGGTGCAGATAGGCGTAGGTAAATATTGACGGAAAAAATGACTTATTTTCGCATTCAAATGAATGCGATTGGCCCTCTGGGCCGAGGAGTAGTGATGAAACCTGGATAGTTTACACCGTAGTAGTGACTATGTGGCCGCTTGGTCTAGTGTTGCTTATCGTTGACACTTTTGGCTAGTGTGGTGTCTGTACAACGACGAGGTCAGGGGGGAGCTGAGATGCGTTTGCTGCGCACGCTTGCGGGGCACAGGCCACTGAAGGGGGATCATATGGAGGCGTTTTCTACCTTCAGCTCTGCATGTATTCTGCAACAGAAGTGCAGAGGAGACGACGGAGTCTCTCGAAGACTCCGAGGCGGGACTCTGCTCGGGACGGGGGTGTGGCTGTTTCCCGCACGACAACCGCGTCGTCTGCAACTTTGTAGGTAATAGGCAGCGGATAGGCAGCTGTGGAAGGATCCCATGGGTTCATTGTTGAGCCGGTGTACGAACTAGTCCCCGCAGATGTCACCACTCGCCACTGAGGAATTGGTGTTTACACGCACGCATGGGAACAAACAGCACGGGATGAAGATTCAGTCTGGGGAGTTAACAGTTCTCTCAAACTGTCAACTGAATGCTCGGTGCTTAAGATAGCGCGAGGTTTCTACTACTGAGGTAGCTCTCATGTTATCAGGAGGGCGAGGTTGTGGTTTTTAAGTCGTATTTCTTTAGGCTGGCTTGGAGTTAGTGGAAGCCTCATGCACCTACCTGGCCCTGGAACGATACGAATGTCTCTGTAGAAGGCACAGTTTCGTGGGCGGGCAGGTTCTCATCATTGGCCCTCAGAAGCCCTGGAAGGAAGCGCACACAGCACAATTAAGGAAGCATGAAATTGTGACTTTCTTCCTAAGGTGTGGTTGCTGTTCCTACGGGTGAAGATGCCCACCATGGAAAACCTCGGGGCCATCGATCTTGATGCGCGGTTTCAGCCATGAAGAAGGCGCCTGCTCAACGCTGATCTCCTCGAGATTGCTGATTGTGTATGTGTAGGCAGCAGGTTGCATCCCAGGCATATGAGATGTCTGTCTGGGGAGCTGAAGCTCCGGTACTGTCACTTTCGTCGGTGCAGGTGGGGTAGGCGGCTGCTGCCTCTGGTTAGCGGGGGCATCGCTGTCTTGGCGTTCATCGTCACTGGGGTAGGAGCCTGAACTGGGGTATTCATCTTCGCTGCTACAGCAAACGGTGGACTGCCCTGCCTCTTCTAGGCATGCCTTCGAGTCGGCAGCACCTGCCTTAGTGGTGACGACGCCGCGCTCCAGTGGTCCTGCCTCCCGGAGCTCGTCGCTGACACCGCAGGGTGGAACAGCTTCCATTTTAAATAGCTTTAAAAACGGTTTGTCAGAGGTGATCGAGGATTGTGAATGGAACCTCGGCTGAACGCTTTCCACGACAGCGCAGCAGGCGGACTCGGTCAGTGCGTGTGCTGAAATGAACTCAACGCAGCCCGAGCGGCCGAGACAGTATTTACTACAGTGCCAAGGAGGTCTTCGGACAAGATTTTGATGAACATTAAAAAGGAAGAGTGCTTGAAGATCTTGCTGCTCCTGCCTAAGCAAGTACAAGAATCCATCGACTCTGACGGCGCTCAGTTTCGGTAGCGGCGGGCTAGCTGTAGTGCACAGGCACTACAATGTGACAGGTGTGACCTCTAGCGACTTTAGGATTGTAAAGGGAATAAATACTAAATATTTTCGGGATTAGGACATTATTTAGCTAGGAAAAGGAATTAATACTACTAAAGGTTCTAGGGAATTGGATACCATTAGATATAGTCATAGCTTAGATTAGTGAGCCAGTTATCCACGCCTGCCGAGTAGTGCAGAGTTAGACACTATTTTGGGTACTAGATATGACTTCTAGAGATCTAATATATGGAAAAGAAATAGAAACTATTATGTCAGTGAATATGGCATTTTTATCTGGATAACAGCTGTGTAGGTTAGGCACCGGGCTGTGTTGTCGCTGCTTTAATATTTCCCCGCTATCTTAGAAGGCACTGATCCCCAATGAAGACCGGGGGTGAATTCTGATAACTCTTGTCAACTAGTTCTATTATTCTGGAAATTTCCCTTGTTTATAATAGGGACTCGAACATGTTTGAAGCTTTAATTCTTGACTTTTGGGAAAGTGCGTAGTTAGAGGATGTAGTTAGGCAGCCCGGCGCTACGAGATGATACAGCTTAGAACAGCTGCGCACTACATTTGGGGGCTGTTCCGGGAAATGTATATAAATTTTTCACCCAGTGATCCCTTTTTTAAATGTTGATCCCACTCTCCCCACCATTCTATAGTGGCAGGGTTAAGGGGAATCAGCCGCAGCATAAATGAAGAGCTAGGGGCGAAGGCATGAAGAGCCAGTTTGTTTGTTATACTGAGATACGTGAGAGCAGATCCGTACTGGAAGAGGCTTCAGACTTTGAACTCTGAGGAGGCCCCACAGAAGACAGGCTGATGTAGATTCCACGAGGGACGAAGCCGAAGAGAAGCAGCAAGCAGAACACGAGCTCTGCGAAAGGGACATAGAAGGGGAAGGAGAGCCCGCTAACCCGATTGACAAGGCTGTAACGATGCCATAGCGGAGAGAAGCTGATGAGGCCGCAGAGTTTGATAGGTGCGGAGTATTGTGCGGTGTGGGCACTACCGCATTCCTGAGGGTAGATGTGGCAGGGAGCCGGATACGGCGGCCTCTAAAGGCGTGCCTACCTTCAAACGAGCGTATGCTTATGGAGGTCACTGGGGAGCAGCAGTAACCGGGTCGTCATGAGATCGGCGACGTGGGGTGGACACAAGCATGGCAGAATTCTCGAAGGGGCCTGCACCTTATGAAGTTGTGTTAGGGCTTGGTTCGTCGACCGCTCAAACAGTGAAGTGGCCGCCTCAGCCAGATAAGTTGAGAACCTACGGGAAAGCGACTTGGTGAGCTAGCGGTAGCTCAGTCATACACTAGCTGAAGCGCATGTGCTCTTGCCTTCCCTTCCTCATGAACAGCGCGTTCGCAGACAAATTTATGCAACGATATCAGAAATGAGCTACGGAAAGTCCTGTTAAATGAATTTTCCGGACTATCGCACACGACGTTTGTTTTCCATGGCTGACGATATACCAATAGGTGGACGCCTGCTGGCGCGCCCTCGCCTTCGTCTGTTCTCCTTGCACTGGACACAAAAGAGCATAGTTCAAAGATAGTGGGAACAGTGCATTTCAATTGGAGAAAATGTTGCTTCGCCCGTGTCATCGCTGTGTCATGTTGACAGTTTAGTCGTACTACGGCACACGAAACAACTACAAACGCGCATAAGCTTCCGCTACCATCGTACAAGCTAATGTGCCAATAACAAGTGGAGCCAAACATTTATATCATGCTTCGATTTTGTTCTAGACATTCCACAGCTCCAGATGCCACCGTTCACAGCAGATTATTAAAGAATAGGCGGTGGCGGCACATATACGAAGCATGCAACGAGATGCCTTGCCTATCCCAGTAGTGGGCATACTATCACAGATCAAGGACACCGTTAGTTCATTTTGTTTGCTCTCAACGGAGCAGGCCTCTCGGCTTAAGGTAAGAATGGTTGGGTTGGTGGTCTAGGTGAAAAATATTTTCCACTGAGCGGCGCACACAGGAGTTTGATCCCGACTTTGATGCGTAGGTAAAGGCTTGCGATTGATAGCCATGTTTTTGAGCAGCAACGACAACAGGTAGAGGCATTATGTAGGCTCCTACTGGTGGGTCTCGCGGACGCTGACGTGTTTCGCAGCAACAATCTTTGATAATGCCCCTTCGTCGTATGCATAGAGCATGCATACAAAGGTGCTCTCAGGTTGTCCTGGAGCAAAACACTCCAGTAAAGAGTGATGTTGCTCGTAATAGGCAACCCTATCTCTAGTCAGCAAATAGCCTGTCTGTTGTGTGGCTATATTGAAAGGAAAGCGGACGGAGAGGCAGCCGCTTTTGTGAAGCGGCCACCTGTAGATCTGCACAAAGCCGGTCATGGGATTGGGGGTCGATGCGATGCACTAGGCACCCACTGGTGTCCGGAGTGGTGGAAACTCCTCGCTTGCACGTGTACATGAGATTCATTGATTCAATTGGGCCTTAAGCGCTATGTAGATTAAATGCGCCACAACCAATTTTCGTAAGACAGTAGTGGGGGAGCGCATGCTCCCCCACTACTACTGGGCTTTGCGAGATGCTAACGACGGTTTGTATACAGTTCCCCCCCTTTCCGTGTAGCACCTCTGCACAGCTTTGGGGTTTCTCCGCTCGTTCCTCTTCGGGACACTGTTTCCACTCGTCTGCTGTAGATGGTGCAAATGCCTGAAAAAGCGCTTAAACATCTACTGTACCCTCGATTTCTGGCAAGGTCATGCACACACACACACACACACACACACACACACACACACACACACACACACACACAATTAGAATGGCATAAGGTTGGCGCATATGTGCGCTCCTTAACACAAGACGAACGACGAGAGTAAGGACAAAAGAGGAGAAGCAAAGGAAGAAAAAGAAGACGAAGACAGCGAAGCCATGAGGGAATCGGAATAACAAGAAGAAGGAGAGGAAGAAGATGAAGGAGAAACGAAGAAATGCTCCTCCATCGGAAATTCGAGAAAACAAAGAAAACAGCCCCGAGAGGAGAAAAAAGAAAGAAATCCGCCAACGACAAGGAAAACGGAAGAGGAAAACTCACATATACCCAAAATTTTATCGACACAAACAAACTGAGGCACAATACAAGACTGATATAGAGGTATATTTAATACATATAGCATCGTATCACGATGGTATGCCAAAGCATGTCTCGAGTCAACCGAGCGCGGAGACTCCCCGCAGCGACTATGCCTATGAATAGACTGGAAGATTGCGCTTCGCCTCCACATCGCTAGGCATCGGCTGAAATTTGCAACAAGTGTCAAGTAACATTACTGCTGCTGACCAGGACGAAGTTAAATACGCCAAGGTGCCAAGAAGACCAGCGAGTAAGGCCAATTTAAGGCTTGCCAACAGCAGACTATGCTAGAGGCCATGCTACACTCTTCTACACCTGATTCATATTGAAGTTGCAAACAGAATGATAGAATATTGGGGAAACACTATGGGTACGAAACGCCACGTCGGCATACCGGCCTCTGTCGGGGGGAATATCCTGCGTATCTTTATGGGCCGTTAGACCAATTTAGCCAAGCATGGAGCCAGTATGATAAACTACTTGGGAAGTTTCACGGGACTACAGATCTTCAAATGTATAGAGTGGCCTTTTCCTTTGGACATGTGGCCGCTAGGCCAACTTCGCAAACATGGAGCCAGTGTTGCAGAGCCTCCCCACTGACGAGGAATCTCTAGATCATTCCGGCAAAATCACTTCAAGACAGAGTTAACTAAATAATAATAATTCTAGTACTGGAAAGTGTACTTTTATTACAAGACAATGACTAATTGTGAACATGGGGCGGTGTGGGGAGTGCCGTACCCGCTGCATGCGAGGTTGGGGCCACAGGATGAAGCCGCCGCTTCGCCAGGGCAGCAGCTCCCATAAGCTTCTTCGGTCGGACACTTGGAAGGATTTGGGGGAAGCGGGTAAAGTTTGTACAAGGAAGCACGGTTTTCTTTTTCCCCTTATTCAAAGGCAGCCTCTCAAAACGCGGGCACAATGGTGGGTTTTCGCGCGGACGTCCGCCACCGGCTCCCACCCCACAAACCAAAGTCCTGCAGCGATTCGAAAATTGTTCGCTCCCTGTCACCACTCTATCTCAAACAGCAACTTCCTCATTTGCAGGCATATTGATATTTGCTTCGTAGCTATGCATCCATACAGTTCATATAGGAGTATCGGCTGCCACGTGGTCGGGAAGCCCCTTGAGGGACTGCGTAGCCGCTCCAGTGTAGTCATCAAACGCAACAGGCTTTATTTTGTACTTTCTACCAGATGTTAGTTTTTGTGTTCGTTGAGCGTTACTTCCTGGATTCTTTCTCGTCGGCTATACGCCGCCGAGAAGCAAAGTGCAATCATACGCGTGCCGGGCTGCATGGAGCGGAGAAGTTTGTCGTTTCCAAAACCATTCCAATGTGATCTTTGCTTGTCTGATGCAATTTGAGATTCCCTTTTTGGGTGGTTTGTTCAGGCGCCGGCCGCAAAGAAGGCTGCTCCGGGGGCTTCTAAGAAGAAGCTGCCGTCAAATCCCGCGGGGAAGAATGTGAAGAAAACAACCAAGTCGCTCATCTTTCAGAAGACCCCTCGTAACTTTCGTATAGGCTGCAATATTCAGCCACGGAGGGAGCTGACGAGGTAGATATTGTGTATTAGCCATCACCATTGCCGTCCGCTCTAGTACAACCATTGGTTTCAAATTGGTTCAGTATTTGTTTTGGGGCGTCCTGTCCTTTGCTTTTCCTGTCCTTTGCTTTACTCAGGTTTGTCAAGTGGCCTAAGTATGTGCTTCTCCAACGCCAGAGACGTGTTTTAATGCAGAGGCTGAAAGTCCCTCCCGCCATCAACCAGTTCACACATACTCTGGACAAGAACCAGGTCAGGACTGTTTGTGCGTCCCTTCTCTCTTATTGTTTAGAAGCACGTCCTGCAGTTGTATTCATTTTGTTTTGTGTTTGGGTTTTGTCTTCAGACCGGACAGCTGATGCGCCTCCTCGCTAAATACAAGCCGGAAACCCGAGGAGAGAAGAAGGCTCGTCTGATTGCGGAGGGAGAGAAGCAGTCTAGTGGTGCTCAGGCAACGAGCAAGAAACCAGTCATGCTGAAATTTGGTCTTAACCATGTCACCGACCTTATAGAGATCAAGAAGGCCAAGCTCGTTGTCATTGCCCATGATGTTGTGCCCATAGACCTAGTCTGCTGGCTCCCGGCCCTTTGCAGAAAGAAAGACGTCCCCTACTGCATTGTCAAGGGAAAGGCGCGACTAGGACAGCTCGTTCACAAGAAAGCCTGCGCTGTCATTGCGGTTGATTCCGTCAGAAAGGAGGTGAGGTGCCAGCTGCTCTGTCGTGCTTAGCTGCGACTGGTTAGTAGCTTGTCCACCTTTGGCGGGTGCATGCATGCATGCGGTCAGTGCACCATTTCAGTGATGAAAGCTTAATTTGTTGGCCAGCGATTGTGTCGCAATGAGGTCCACAAATTATAATCGTCTTCAACTGAAAGGAATTGGTGCTTCCCTTCTTATGGGGCCTCTACACTTTGCCCATGAACACCCGTATGCCTGAACTACCATAGCAGTACAAGCATTTCTACCGATTGTGACGTTCCTTTTGTCACCCGGAAGATGACGCCGCTTGCTGACGAGCGGGGAATCCCCTGCAGTGCCACGTCAGCATCCGAATAATCGTCATCAGGTGATTGGGGCGGTGCCATTCTCTGCATGTGTCGTACACGCCAGTAGTTGTACCGTATCCAGTCTTGTTGTAAATATTGAATGTCATGCCTCTAGTGCATTAGGTATCGGATGACATGGCTTGTCTATTGACGCTTCCATGATGACAATTTTGTTGACTAGCGGGGAATCCCCTGCAATGGCACGTCGGCATCAAAATAATCGTCTTCAGCTGAACATTGGGGCGTTTTGGTGAAGCTGTGCACTACTGGATCGTGGAGTATTTGTTAATCGGTGGTAAATATTGGATGCTATGCCTCTTAGTGCACTGCGGCATCGGATGACTTCATTTCTCCATGAGTTGCCAACTGGCAACAGTGACGAGTATCAGTTGTCTTCAAAGTTCTCTGAAGCCGCGCATGTCTAACATACGCCGAACTTCTTTGTTAGTGAATGCAATGGGGCAGCATTATTTTTATCTGTTGGCTACTATGGCTATTCGAACTGCAGGACCAAGCTGAGCTTGAGGCGCAGTGCAAGAACTACCGCGCGATGTTCAATGACAACGCTGAGCTGCGGAGACGTTGGGGAGGTGGTCAGTTGGGTATCAAGTCACAGCATGCACAAGAGAAGAAGCAGAAACTGATTGACGCCGAAATGAGGAAGAAGGCGGGTCTGCAAATTGCTTAAGCGTGGATTTTGTGTATCCGCATTTACTAACCCCAAGGATGCCCCACTTTTCCAGAGTGAAAGGTGTCTTGGGCTATCATTCACTCCGGGGATTTGAACAATTCATAACTACGCGTTTATGCAACAACAGCCTCTAAAAATTTTATTCGCGCAGATATTTGCTTTAGCAGGAGGAGTTTTCGATTGCAGTTGAGCTGGGGCATTCGTGGGTAGGTTGTACGTAGATTATTATTAGTATCAGGAAGTGTACCCAGTACGTTTCAAGCACCGCTAGAAGGATAGTTGGGGTTGGCGGGGTATTTGCTGGGGGGGATGGAGGTCAGTGTGCAGACGTTGATGTGCTTGAAGCGGCATATGCCTCCAGTTTCGGAAGTGTTTGACAGCAGTGTGAGTTGTGTTTCGCCGTCCGTGCCAATACAGTGATATTGTGGACAGGCTGCTGATGAACAAGCCACATCTCCCGACTTTTAGGGTGAGGAGAACCCAGGAGACCTGAACTGAGAAGCCGACGAATGCGTTTATAGTTGTGCACTTAGAGTTTGCTCAAACTCAGTATCATCCGTTCGCCATTTGATCGCGACGCAGGGCAGGCGAACCCGGCCTCTGTTGCGTCTGGCCTCGCGTGTCGTATGTGCAATCCATAAACCACGACTCGTTTCAGGTGCATTCCCACAGCACTAAGTGTGTCTTGTGCCAGTCTAAGCGAATGCTTTTCTCGGTAAGCTGTTTTGAATGTGGCAGCGTCTTTAGCAAGGGACGCCCATTCGGCGAATATCAGCGGCGGCAATTTGCAGGAAGGAGCATGCTTGTTTCCTTGCCATGAAGCCTTTCGCTGAGAGCCTCATGTGAGGGGAGAGGGATGACCGAGAGATGTTGCTGATGAGCATACCTTACTGTCGTTCTTCTGATCAGTACCAGTGAAGAGAACACAGGAGACCTGAACTGACTTGCACGAGTGGACTTGCTGTTTTGCGCCTTTTCTGTAGATTTTGAAGGCACAGTGATGAACAAAATTTATCCGTGTTTCAACTGATCCTTAGGGACTGTGATGCACATACAGTTTGTATTCCCTGACAAGCCTTCCACACACCCTTCTGCCTCTTTTTGCATGTGTGGAAGTGAAGAGCAAGTGGTGTTGCCGCTGCGTATTGCCACAGAGGCGGCCTCTTTGCAAGTACCCGGGGCAGCCTCTGCCATTTGCAGCGGACACTGTGCCTTATGGCGGACCGTATAGGAACCTTTCTCTGAGAGCCTCATGTGAGGGGAGAGGGCTGACAGCGTGTCCACATATCACATCATCATTCACATTCGTGACTCGGTACATTATCTTCCTCGTGCTGAATTTTCAACGATTGTATGCTGGTGAACTTGTAGTACGTTGAAAAGATGTTGCTGATGAGCATACCTTACTGTCGTTCTTCTGATCAGTACCAGTGAAGAGAACACAGGAGACCTGAACTGACTTGCA